GCTGCCCCCAAAAAGAGGGAGTCAAGCTATTCTCCAAAGCGCCTGAAGGCAGGACAGGAAGCAAGAGATGGAAACTAATCAAGAAGAGAAGCAACCTAAGGAGAAACTTCCTGACAGTGAGAACCATTCACCGGTGGAACTACCTGCCTCCAGAAGCGGCGAATGCTCCAACACTGGAAGTTTTTAAGAAGAGACTGGACAGCCATTTGTCCGAAATAGTATACGGTTTCCTGCCTGAGCAGGGGGTTGGACTAGATGACCTCCAAGGTCCCTTCCAACTTTATTATTGTTATTGTTATTATTATTACATAACAAAATACTTTTTTTTTGGTATTTGAATTTGACTTGTTTTTCTCTCTTTTCTATGACGCTAACAAAGCTCCCCCTTGACTTAACAACAGATCAGTTAGTGGCCGTTCAGGATGACAACCTCACTGGGAAAAAAATGGGATTTAGGACTAGTGTTCACACTTACGACCTTACTTAGGCCTTCAGCTGGGTTTTATAAAATCTTTTCGCTTTAGACCTCCACCGAAGTGTGCAAAAAAAAAAAAAAAAGGTTCAGTGAATCAGTCAATTTCAACTTCTCGCGGGAAAAAAAAAGATCTCGCAAAGTTGGAATCGATTGAACTTTTTAGTCCCGCCCAGTCTGCCATTACCAGCGCAGCCACGCCCAGCCAATGGGTCACGCCCACACAATTGGCCACACCCAGCCAATGGGCCACACCCACCCGGCACCCGACGATGCATAAGTGGGTTTTGGGTTGCAGTTTGGGCACTCGGTCTCTAAAAAGGTTCGCCATCACTGTCTTAACTATATAAAAAAATGGTGTTTTTGAACGAGAGGAATCCCTTTGTCATGGGACGGGCTGAATAAATCGTAAGAGGGGCCTTGAGCCTTGAATTTCCGTTGCTAAGCGAGACATTTGCTAAGCAAGACATTTGTCCCGTTTTACGGCCTTTCCCGCCACTGCTGTTCAGCAAATCCCCGGCAGTGGTTAAGTTAGGAACGGCGTTGTCGACTTGGCTCGTCAGAAGCTCGCCAAAGGGGATCACGTGACACCTCCAGGATGCTGCGACTGTCATAAACGTGAAGCAATTGCCAACCCTCTGAAAGCATCGCGGTTGTTAAGTGAATCCGGCTTCCCCATTAACTCTCTGAATTTTGATCACCTGACCCTGGGGATGCTGCAATGGTCCTAAGTGAGAAAAAACGGTCATAAATCCCTTTTTTTCCAACGCTGTTGTGATTGAATAGTCGGTAAACAAACTGCTACTCTGAGGGATGCCTGTAAAAATGATGCTTTCTGACGCTTGGCGAGTGGTTCGTGTTTACGACGGTCGCAGCGCTGCTGCCGGGTGGCGGGGTCCGCTGTTGTGACCTGCCGGCACGCCACGGTGGGACTCACTCATCAATGGCAGCGATTTGCTTCACAATGGCGTCAAGAAAAGACGATAAGACAGAGCAGGATTCGCCTCACAGCCGTCTTGCTTAGCGACGGAGGTTTGGGGTTGAACTGGTCGTAAGTGGAGGACTGCCTCTAAAGAACAGGCGCCTAGCTTTCTTTCCAGAGCCCTCTCAAAGCAGACATTCGGTCCATGAGGTAATTGGCGTGTTGCCTTGAAATCCAGGCTCTTTTGATAAGAAGGTCAGTTCGTGTCAGAACGAAACTGCCTGCTTCTGACACAACCCAGGACGCTGTAATCCCTTCCTAGCACACACAACACACCCTTGTGCGCAGGAGATGTGGCAAAAGACAGGGACGTCAGCCCCAGCGCGCAAACCTCTGAATCACAACTTCCACGCAGAAATGAAGCAAGGCAATAATAAAACAAAACAAAACAGGGTTTCCGCTCAGAGGAGGCGGTTTGGAGAAGAAATGAACACAAATGGGTGCTCAAAGCAGATTTTCTAAAGTGTGCGTGTGTGTGTCTCTCTCTCTGTGTGTGGGGTTATTTGGCTGGATGCAAAATAATAGAATAACTGAGTTGGAAGGGGCCTTGGAGGTCATCTAGTCCAACCCCCTGCTCAGGCAGGAAACCCTAGACCAGGAGTAGGCAACCTTGGCTCTTTTATGACTCGTGGACTTTAACTCCCAGAATTCTTGAGCCAGTAGGCAACCTTGGCTCTTTTATGACTCGTGGACTTTAACTCCCAGAATTCTTGAGCCAGCACAGCACAGCTGGCTCAGGAATTCTGGGAGTTGAAGTCCACGAGTCATAAAAGAGCCAAGGTTGCCTACCCCTGCCCTAGACCATTTCTGACAAATGGCTGTCCAGTCTCTTCTTAAAAACTTCCAGTGTTGGAGCATTCACAGCTTCTGGTGGCAGGTGGTTTCACTGGTTAATTGTTCTCACTGTCAGGAAGTTTCTCCTTAGTTCCAGGTTGCTTCTCTCCTTGATTAGTTTCCATCAGTTGCTTCTTCTCCTGCCTTCGGGTGCTTTGGAGAACAGGTGGACCCCCCTTTTCCTTGTGGCAGCCCTTTAAATATTGGAAGACTGCTATCATGTCACCCCTGGTCCTTCTCTTTGTTAGACTAATAAAATAACAGAGCTGGAAGGGACTTTGGAGGTCTTCTAGTCCAACCCTGTCAAGCAGGCAAGCCCTTCCACTGATTGTCCTCACTGTCAGGAAGTTTCTCTTTAATTCCAGGTTGCTTCTCTCCTTGATTAGTTTTCATCCGTTGTTTGTCTTGCCTTCTGGTGCTTTGGAGAATAGCTTGACTCCCTCTTCTTTGGGGCAGCCCCTGAGATACTGGAACACAGCTATCATGTCCCCCCTCGTCCTTCTCTTCGTTAAACTAGACATCCCCAACTCCAGCAACCGTTCTTTATATGTTTTAGCCTCCAGTCCCCTGATCATCTTTGTTGCTCTTCTCTGCACTCTTTCTAGAGTCTCAACATCTTTTCTACATCGTGGTGACCAAAACTGGACGCCGTATTCCAAGTGTGGCCTTACTAAGGCCTTGTAAAGTGGTAATGCTTCACGTGCATGACTTGGGTGCATACCGTAGCAGGTTAGGCTTGCAGCTAGGAAATGGATTTTTAGAGCAGGCATATTCAACCTTGGCTATGTTTAAGACTGGTGGGCTTCAACTCCCAGAATTCCGCCAGGAATTCTGGGAGTTGAAGTCCATCAGTCTTAAATGTTGCCAAGGTTGGACACCCCTGATTTACAACAAGAAAAAGGGAAAATAAAAACCAGCTTGAAGAATCAGGCGCTTTCGTGACTTCTGGCTATTAATTGTGCAGTGGGATTGAGAAGCGGTCCCATTTTTCCCTCGCAGGCCCACACACGCTTCCCCCAAATTAACCTCACGCTTTGCAAGACGAACCGATTCCTTTGTACCTACGCGTGTGTGTACATGTGCACGCCACTAAGAGGCCCAGAATAATCCGTTAACAATTCATGTTTTAGATGGAAGGGGTGGGGGGAAAACCACTACGTGTATTTACAGATAGGTACGTACAGGTAGACGTATGCCTTCAATGGAGTCTGCTCTTTATGGATTCACATTGCGACGGTCGTAGACGAGGGAAGGGGTGGTAATTGTAACTGCGGAAGTGGGTTGTAAGTCCCCCTGGGAAGGCATGTTGTAAGTTTGAAGCATCGCTAAGGGGTGAGTTGAAAACCGAGGACTATCTGCAAGCAACCTAAGAAGTATATTTTCATTGTGCAATTATCCTCTTAAGTTTGCGATGGATGCAACCGGAAGGCAGCTTGTCACATTACCCTTTAAACTGACTGCCAAGGGTGGAAACTCGGGGTGTTCGGATCCGGCCCCCCCAAAATTAAAAGAGTGCCAGCTGGGAAGAATGCTGCTTTAATCCACCGGTTTACGAATTGGGGCCGGGTCTTGCTTAACGACGTGGCGAATCCGTGCTGTGAAAATTTGGGAAAAAAACCCCCCTCCTTTGTGGATGATGGGCTACAGTTGAATCCGTGCCTGGATCAGCGTGTGGGTCGTCCATGATTTACAAGCACAATTGAGGCCCAAAATTTCTGTTAAGTGGATTTCGCCTCACCTTACGACGTTTCTTGCCACTGTTGTGAAGTGGGTCACTGCAGGTGTTAAGTTAGGAACCGGGTTGTTAAGGGAATCTGCCTGCCCCATTGGTTTTGCTGGTCAGAAGGTCGCCAAAGGGGATCACGTGAGCCCAGGACACTGCGACCGTCATAAATATGAGTCAGGTGTCAAGCGCTTTAAGATGGTGAGTTCTAGTCCTACCTTAGGCATGAAAGCCAGCTGGATGATTTTGGGCCAATCACCAGGAGACAGTGAGTTCTAGTCCCACCTTAATCACAAAAGCTGGCTGGGTGACTTTGGTCCAGCCCATCTCACAGGGTTGTTGTTGTTCTGGGCAACATAGGAGGAGAAATGTGTTCTGGAATTTTCCGTTGCCTTAATAAAATATTAAAAAAATAAGACGAGATACAAACAAAAAATAAAATAAAATATAAAATAATAAAATAAAAATAATAAAAGAAAATATAAAAGAAAATATAATAAAAGAAAAATAATAAAAGAAAAATAATAAAATAAAATAAAATAATAAAAGAAAATAAATAAAAGAAAAATAAAATATAAAATAATAAAATAAATAAAAGAAAAATAATAACAAAATATAAAATAAAATAAATAAAATTAAATTAAAATAATAAAAGAAAATATAAGATAATAAAATTAAAAAAATAAAATAATAAAATAAAATAGAAAATAGAAAATAAATAAAAGAAAAAATGAAAGAAAAGAAAAATAAAATAAAATATAAAATAAAATAAATAAAAAATAATAAAATAAAATATAAAATAAAATAAAATATAAAATAATAAAATAAAATAAAATATAAAATAGAAAATAAATAAAAGAAAAATAAAAGAAAATATAAAAGAAAAGAAAAATAATAAAATAAAATATAAAATAAAATAAATTAAAATAATAAAATATAAAATAATAAAATAAAATAAAATAATAAAATAAAACTCACAGCACAAAGCCTCTGATTGGGTTGCTTTTAATTTTCAATAAATTAAGGGTCTCGGGCGCTGCTGTCTGCCCCCACCCGGGGGAAATCAGGCGAGGAGGATGGTGGTCACCTTGGGCAGCAGACTGGCCAGCTCTGACCGGACCCCGGGGGTCTCACACAGGGGGTTTCCTTGCAGGTTGAGCTGAGCCAAGGCAGGGAAAGTGGCCAGACTCCTGAGGGCCGAGGCTCGCTGGATGCCTGACGGACGCAAAACGAGTCAAGGAGAGCTCTGCTCAAAGATACCCCAACCCACTGCCCGTTAATTTCTCCCCCCCCCTTCAGGACCGGCCTTGGCCCGCCCGCCAGGATACGGTTGTTGCGGAGAGAGAGTTCCTCCAGACAAGGCAGAGGGGGCAGCCCTTCCAGGCTCTCGATCTGGTTGTTGTCGGCCTCCATCACCTGGGGGGACGGGTGGGAGAAAGCAGAGAATCAAGAGACCCAGGTGGTCCTCGACTTACGACGGTTCATGGTTATGCCGCCACTGGAAAAAGTGACTTGCGACCGGTTTTCACGCTTACGATCGTCGTGGCCTCTCTGGGGTCACGTGATCAAAATGAAGAGGCTTGGAAATGGGCCTGTACTTATGACGGTTGCAGTGCTCTGGGGTGACGGGATCCCCTTTGGCGACCTTCCGACATAAGTCGGGGACTTACCTGTACAGCTCATAGGTAGTCCTCACTTTTGGACCACCCCAGGGACTCGAATTTCCATTGCTGAGCAAGGGGGAGGGGCTTGTTCAATGAGTCGTGCCCAACTTGATGACTTCCCCCCGTCGTTAAGTGAATCATACGGTCGTTAAATGAATCCGGCTTCCCCAAATGACTTTGCTTGATCGGAAGCTGGCTTGGAAGGTCGCCAATGGCGATCAGGTGACCACCGTCGTAAATACGCGCCGGTGGCCTGAATTTTCGACCACGTTAACACGGGGAAGCTACAACGGTCGTAACTGTGAGGACTGGTTAAGTCATTTCCCCCCCCCCATTGCTGTCGTAACTGTGAACATTCCCTAAATCAGGGGTAGGCAACCTTGGCCCTTTTATGACTCGTGGACTTCAACTCCCAGAATTCCTGAGTCAGCCACGCTGAGGGGAAAGGGAGAGGTTTCCAAGCTGAGCCATGCTGGCTCAGGAATTCTGGGAATTGAAGTCCACAAGTCCTCAAGGGAGCCATAGTTCCCCCATGCTGGCTCAGGAATTCTGGGAGTTGAAGTCCACGAGTCATAAAAGAGCCAAGTTTGAAGACCCTTCAGTTAGAGGAACATATGAAAGCATAATTAATGTTAATTAATGTAGACTTTATTAGTTTAGAGCAGGGGTAGGCAATCTTGGCTCTTTTATGACTGGTGGACTTCAACTCCCAGAATTCCTGAGCCAGCATGGGGGAACTATGGCCCCCTTTAGGACTGGTGGACTTCAACTCCCAGAATTCCTCCGCCAGCCTGGCTCAGCTTGGAAACCTCTCCCTTTCCCCTCAGCGCGGCTGGCTCAGGAATTCTGGGAGTTGAAGTCCACGAGTCATAAAAGAGCCAAGGTGGCCTATCCCTGGCCTAAATGAATGGCTTTAGCTTGAGGATCACCTGTGCTGAGCCCTGAAGCAGTGGCTGATGGGTCCAGGGCTCTGTTGGGGGGGGCACCAGGAAGCCGAGCTGTAAAATAAGAGGGGGGGGCTTACCTCGAGGCAGCGCATCATGGCCAGCGTGGGGGGCAAGGCAGAGAGAAGATTGTCAGAGAGATTCAGGTGTGTGACCAACAACAGGTGTTCCAGGTGGCAGAGACTGGTCAGGCTCTGAGGAAAGCAAAAAACACACAACAACAACAAAATTTGTGGTCTGTTATTTTAACCGTTCAGTTGTGACTTTGATAGGCATGTCCTCTCCACGGTATCCGGCCCAGCACAGCTCCTTTCCGTTGTCGCACACGGTTCATTTAGCAACCGTTCAGAGTTACGACGGCGCCGAACCGACAAGTAATTAGCAAGAGGGCGGTGTAGGTGATACCTCCCCTCAACCAGCCCTCCATCTGTCCTTCCATCTGATTTTCACAAAGCCCCCCCCCCCAAAAAGCAGCCCCAAAATTGCCTTTCCACACCGCAGAACTTAAATCTGGTTCCGCCTTGGGGAGAAAATAATTGGGACTTTTTTTTTAATTATTAGCCCAGACCCACCGCATTTGCTAACAACTTTTAAAGCAGGGAAGTTGGCCCATCTCATTTCTTATTTTAGCTTATTGACCAATTTCCTGGAAAGCTGCAAAAAGAGGAAGTGGCTGGCAGGGCAAGAGGCAACGTATGGAAACTAACCAAAGAGAGAAGCAACCTAGAACTAAGGAGAAACTTCTTGACTTAGAACAATTAACCAGTGGAATAACCTGCCTCCAGAAGCGGTGAATGCTCCAACACTGGAAGTTTTTAAGAAGAGCCTGGACAGCCATTTGTCCGAAATGGTATAGGGTTTCCTGCCTGAGCAGGGGGTTGGACTAGATGACCTCCAAGGTTGTTCCACTGGTTAATTGTTCTCACTGTCAGGAAGTTTCTCCCGAGTTCTAGGTTGCTTCTCTCCTTGGTTAGTTTCCACCCGTTGCTTCTTCTCCTGCCTTCAGGCCCTTTGGAGAATGGCTTGACTCCCTCTTCTTTGGGGCAGCTCCTGAGATATTGGAACACAGCTATCATGTCCCCCCTCGTCCTTCTCTTCGTTAAACTAGACATCCCCAATTCCAGCAACCGTTCTTTATGTTTTAGCTTCCAGTCCCCTGATCATCTTTGTTGCTTTTCTCTGTATTCTTTCTAGAGTCTCAACATCTTTTTTACATCGTGGTGACCAAAACTGGATGCAGTATTCCAAGTGTGGCCTTACCAAGGCGTTGTAAAGTGGTATTAATACTTCACATGATCTTGATTCTATCCCTCTGTTAATGCAGCCCAGCGCTGTGTTGGCCTTTTTGGCAGATGCAGCACACGGCTGGCTCCTATTTAAGGGATTGTCCACTAGGACTCCGAGGTCCCTCTCACAGTTGCTACTATTGAGCAAAGAACCACCTATACTATACCTGTGCATCTGTTTTTTCTTGCCTAAATGTAGAACCTTACTTTTCACCCTTGAATTTCATTTTGTTAGATAGCGCCCAGTGTTCAAGTCTGTCCAGATCCTCCTGTGTCTTAAGCCTGTCTTCTGGAGTGTTGGCTATTCCTGCCAGCTTGGTGTCATCTGCAAATTTGATGAGTTCCCCATCTATCCCTTCATCCAAATCGTTGATGAAGATGTTGAAGAGCACTGGGCCTAGAACAGAGCCCTGGGGCACCCCACTACACACTTCCCTCCCTGTAGATGCGGTTCCATTGAGGACTTCTTGTCAAGTACCTTCTGGGAGAGGTCCACCACGCGCGAATCGGCGTACTCCATCTTGAGGACACTGTTCTCAATGAGAAACTTGCTCCGTAGGTCATTGAGATATGAGGAGCGCATGGGGTCTGCGGCCTGTGGGAGGAGAACCAGAGGTTAGCATGGGAGCATCGCCAGGGTAGCAGCAACAAAACAGACAAGACAACCTATCCAGATGGATCCATGTTGTGTAAAGCCACCGCAGTGTTTCTCACCCGTGGCAACTTGAAGAGGGGTGGACTTCAAGTCCCAGAATTCCCCAGCCACTGTGCTTTAAAATGAGGGGACTTCAATCCCAGAATTCCCTAGCCACTGTGCTTTAAAATGAGGGGACTTCAAGTCCCAGAATTCCCCAGCCAGACTGATTAGATTAGATTAGATAACCTTTATTGTCATTTTTTTCCCTGTGGGCACAACGGCACACATTAAAAATGAAATTTAGTTGCTTGCTCTCAAAGTGTACACGTACGTAAGACACATTTAAAACATACTATATACAACATATATACAGACTTACACCTTTACATATAAGTAACCTATAAATATTATTTACTGTCCCTCTTGAATACATAACGGAAGGAGGAAGCTTTAGGATTCACAAGGTTAATACTGTATCTTGCTTTAAAATGGGGGGGGGAGGGACTTCGAGTCCCAGAATTCCCTAGCCAGCTTGATTGAAGAGGGGCGGACTTCAATTCCCAGAATTCCTCAGCCAGCAAAGTTTAAAATGGGTGGACTTCAACTCCCAGAATTCCTCAGCCAGCAGGCTTTAAAATGGGTGGACTTCAACTCCCAGAATTCCTCAGCCAGCAGGCTTTAAAATGGGTGGACTTCAACTCCCAGAATTCCTCAGCCAGCATACTTTAAAATGGGGAAATCTTCAACTCCCAGAATTCCCTGGACTTTTTCTCCACTTTGCTGAAGTCAAGATATATTACGTGGACTGAATTCCCACCATCTATTAAGAAAGTTTATTAAAAAAATGTGACAAAGGCGGTCTAGCCACACGTGTTCTTTATCTGTATTGAATTCTGGTAAAAATCTTCGCTGGCTAGGGAATTCTGGGAGTTGAAGTCCACCCCTCTTAAAGTAGCCGAGGATGAAAAACACATACGGTCCCAGAATCTTGCTAAGATATCCTGAGATGTTTTTTCCAATTAATTTGTAAGCCAGGGAGCTTTCTGTTAATTTCCCTCTATTGCAGTGGTTCTCAACCTGTGGGTCGGGACCCCATTTGGGGTCGAACGACCATTTCACGGGGGTCGCCAAACAACGCAGTCTGCCATTTTCCCCCCCTTTTCCTTAGCTTTGCTACTCCCTTTTATTCTACTGGCTTTTGAAAGCCAATAGAATAGACTCTCTTGAATAGACTCTAATTCTATTGGCTTTCAAAAGCCAACAGGAATTGTCCAGGCTGTCTCTGCCCTGCTGAGCCGCCAAAAGTCCTATTCTGCAAACGGTGCTGCATCAGTTGAGTGGTCCTCGACTTACGACCGGTTGAGTAGTCCTCGACTTACGACCGGTTGGGGGGTCGCGGCATTAAAAGGTTGAGAACCACTGCTCTATTGGATGTATGTGAGAAGAAGCAAAGGGGGCTGAAGAAAGTGGGAGAGCTCTGCACGTGCTCAGGGGTGCTGTTTCGTCGCCAGAAGGCATCCCACCGAGACGGGGTGGGGAGTGGGTGGCTTTTTCCAGCCTGACCTTCTTGGGGTGCACCGGGAGGGCAGTGACCCGAATCCCCAGCTGCTGAGGGAAGATGTTGCATGCTACATGCGCAAGGCCAGCTTCCGAACAAAGTGTGATTTGACACCAGCCTTCGGTGTGTCTGTCCCGGGCTGACCTTCAAGGCAGCAAAGTAACGGAGGGTCTCCTGCTCATACACCAAGGGGTCCAAAGCTCTCATGAGGAGGATGATGGTCAGGAGACACCCTAAGGAGGAAAAAAGGAGAGATTCAGCTTGAATCAAGCGATCCCCCGACCTCAAATCAGTGCTGCTCGTTCATTCACACGAGCTTCCTTTATTCCGCATATTTTTCTGGATGAGAGAGAGCTGCGGGGAAGCGCAAAAGAATTTCGTTCTACAGATGCTTAGTACAGTCTTAAGGCCTAGTAACTTAGCAAAAACATTTGACGCTACTGTTAGGGTCTCTTCTCAGGATCCACCCACGTCGAGTGGGAGCGAAGTAGCTCTTATCAACCTACACTTGTTCTCCGGCTCCAAGGCCTGCAGTTCCTTGCAGGATTCCAGCTCAGATTGCAGCACGGTTGACTTCTCCACGGACAACTCGCACCTGGGGCAGGAGAAGGAGGCAGGAGGTCAGGAAGGGAGTAGCCCTTAGGGAAAACTCAGCCACAGCATGAAATGGGAGGGGAAGCAAGTGCTGGGCGCTTGTTAACAGGGAAGGAAGGAGAAAAGGGAGAGAAAAGAGAGGGAGGGAAGGAGGAAAGATGGGAGGGAGGGAGGGAAGGAAGAAAGGAAGGGGGAAGGAAAGATGGGAGAGAAGGAAGGAAGATGGGGAGGGTGGGAGAAGGAAGAAAAGAGATGGGAATGAGAGGAAGGAAAGATGGGAGGGAAGGAAGGAAGAAAGGAAGGGAGGGAGGAAGAAGGAAGGAGATGGGAAGGAGGAAGAAAGGGAGGGAGGGAGGGAGGGAAGAAGGAAGGAAGATCGGAAAGAAGAGAGGGAGGGAGGAATGGAGGGAAGAAGAAAGGAAGGAGGGAGGGAGGGAGGAAGGGAGGGAGGGAAGGAAGGAGGCAAGGGGAGGAAGAGGGAAGGAAGAAATGGAAGAAGGAAGGAAGGAAGATGGGAAAGAAGGGAGGAGATGGGAATGAGAGGAAGGAAAGAAGGGAGGGAGGGAAGAAGGAAGGAAGATGGGAAAGAAGGGAGAGAGAAGAAGGAAGGAAGGAGGAGATGGGAATGAGAGGAAGGAAGGAAGGAAGGAAGAAAGGAAAGAAAGAAGGGCTGGCCATTATGAACCCCTCTCTCTTCCAACCGATTCACCCAACATCTGATCCAATTCATTAAACAGATCACGAACAGATAAACCCTTTTTCAGAATGCCAAACAACGCATTCTCACGATTCCCAGAAAAACCAACCGAGAGAAAAAAAAAACTAAATTCGGAACCCGAAAATTCTGGGCCGTTGAAATCCACCCATGCTGGCTGGGGAATTCTGGGAGTTGGGAGTCCACCCGTCTCCAAGTTGCTGAACCCCCCCCCTCCTGGCCAGACCCCGATTTTTAACCCCTGGGCTGCCTTGCAGCCCCTTGGCTGCAACCATGATGCCAGGGCCTACTTCCCCCCCCTCCCCAATTTTCAGCGTTGTGTGGCTCAGGGCACCCCAATCCGAACTGGCTCACCCCACCCTCCACCCATGACGTCACCCCCCCTTGAACACGCCATGCGCGCATCTCCCAACTTATTAACCCTGGTGAGCGGGCCTTGCTCCGATGAGTCAGGCACGGCTCACAGCCCTTCCCCGGCTGAAGGAAGCCTGACTCGTGCCGTCAGTTGGCCAATAAATCACCCCCGCTGACTCGGTTTCCCCTTTGGCCAGCTCACGGCAAGATCTCGGTCCGCCCTGGGGCTGAGAGAACGGGCTCTGGGTGCCCAAGAACGGAAGAGGACCGAGAACAGAAACAAGTTTTGAAGAAGAGACTGGACAGCCTTTGGTCTGAAATGGTTTCCTGTCTGAGCAGGGGGTTGGACTAGATGATCTCCCAAGTCCCTTCTGAGTCTGTTATTCTTTTTTTTCTTTCTTTCCTTCCTTCCCTCCCTCCCTTCTCCAACACTGGTAGTTTTTAAGAAGAGACTGGAGAGCCATTTGTCTGAAATGGGATAGGGTTTCCTGCCTGAGCAGGGGGTCGGACTAGATGACCTCCAAGATCCCTTCCAAATTTATTGTTGTTGTTGTTGTTGTTATTATTATTATTAAAATCAATGGGGGAAGCCGGATTCCCTTCACAACCGTGTTGCTAACTTAACCACTGCAGGGACTCACTTAACAACGATGCAAGGAAAGTCGTAAAATGGAGCAAAACTCACTTGACCAATGTTTTACTGAACAGCCACTTTGGGCTCAGTTGCAGTCGTAACTTGAGGACTACCTGTAATACGTCTCTCTCTGTGTATGTTTTTGTGTGTCTTTGTGTGTGTGTGAAGGTCTGGCACAGACAAAGATGCACAGGGAGTCCTTGAAGTACGACCATTAATTTAGCGTCCGTTTGAAGTCACAACGGCACGGGAAAAAAAAGTGAGTTAGGGCTGTTTTTCACACTGAACAATTGTCGCAGCACTTCCCCGTGATCAAAATTCGGACACTTGGCAACTGGCATGTACTTATGACGGTTGCAGTGTCCTGGGATCATGTGATTCCCCTTCTGACAAGCAAAGTCAATATGGGACGCCAGGTTCACCTCACAACCTTTGTTCCTAACTCTGGGTTAGGCAACTTTGGCTCTTTTATGACTGGTGGACTTCAACTCCCAGAATTCCTGAGCCAGCATGGGGGAACTATGGCCCCCTTTAGGACTCGTGGACTTCAACTCGCAGAATTCCTCAGCCAGCGTGAGGGAACTATGGCCCTTTGATGATTTGTGGACTTCAACTCGCAGAATTCCTCAGCCAGCCATGCTGAGGGGAAAGGGAGAAGTTTCCAAGCTGTTGGCTCAGGAATTCTGGGAGTTGAAGTCCACGAGTCCTAAAGGGGGTCATAGTTCCCCCATGCTGGCTCAGGAATTCTGGGAGTTGAAGTCCACCAGTCCTAAAGGGGGCCATAGTTCCCCCATGCTGGCTCAGGAATTCTGGGAGTTGAAGTCCACCAGTCCTAAAGGGGGCCATAGCTCCCCCATGCTGGCTCAGGAATTCTGGGAGTTGAAGTCCACGAGTCCTAAAGGGGGCCATAGTTCCCCCATGCTGGCTCAGGAATTCTGGGAGTTGAAGTCCACGAGTCCTAAAGGGGGCCATAGTTCCCCCATGCTGGCTCAGGAATTCTGGGAGTTGAAGTCCACGAGTCATCAAAGAGCCAAGGTTGCCTGCCCCTGTCCTCACTTAACAACCGCAGGGATTCACTTAACCACTTTGGCAAGAAAAGTCGTGAAATGGGGCAAAAGTCACCTCACAGCTGTCTCGTTTAGCAACGGAAAGAAACTTTGGGCTGAGCTGTAGTGCAGGCTGCACAACGGTTTGGGCTGAGCTGTGGTGCAGGCTGCACAACGGTCGTGTTGTTTTCTCAAACGAGGTGCCGCTTCCGCCTTCTCTCTTTGCTGTTGTGCGTTGTTGCCAAAATTGGCTGCGGTGACTGAAGGCTTATTAGAGGTGGATTAGCTGCCTGGCTTCCCCACAGGAGTTTCTGTGGCGCTAAGTGGAGATTACCAGGCCTCTTGTTTTCATTAGGCAAAAATCAGCGAGTCAAATCGGCATTTAGAAGAGTTGTACCCTAAAGCGGTGTTTCTCAAAGGCGGCCATTTTAAGATGGGTGGACTACAACTGCCCGGGTTCCCTAGCCATCTTGGATGGACTTCCACTCCCAGAATTCCTTAAAAACACTGGAAATTTTTAAGAAGAGACTGGACAGCCATTTGTACGAAATGGTGTAGGGTTTCCTGCCTGAGCAGGGGGTTGGACTAGATGACCTCCAAGGTCCCTTCCAACTAATAATAGTAGTTCAAGTCAATGGACTTCCACTCCCAGAATTCCCTAGCCAACTTGGATGGACTTCCACTCCCAGAGTTCCCTAGCCAGCTTGGACTTCCACTCTCAGAATTCCCTAGTCAACTTGGACTTCCACTCCCAGAGTTCCCTAGCCAATATGGGTAGTCTTCAACTGCTAGAATTTTCCAACCAGTATGAATGGACTACAACTCCCAGAGTTCCCTAGCCATCTTGGATAGATTTCCACTCCTAGAATTCCTTAGCCAACTTGGACTCCCAGAATTCCCTAGTCATCTTGGACTTCTACTCCCAGAGTTCCCTAGCCAATATGGGTAGTTTTCAACTGCTAGAATTTTCCAACCAGTATGAATGGACTACAACTCCCAGAGTTCCCTAGCCAGCATTCTGGGAAGCACTTTGCAAAGACAGCTTTCGTTCCATAGATTAGGAAAAGAAGAAAGGACCCACATCCACCCAGACACTAACCAGCTAACCTTTTTGCTCTGTGCATCGTTAACCTGACTTCCTGGTTGCTCAATCCGATAAACTCTGGCCTGTATCTTTTGCTGAGACTCCCAACTTGCTTCTCCCTCGTTTAGCGTGTTGTGTGAACCCAGCCCAAGGCCCCCATCCTGAGATCTGGGCCACCCCTTTACCTGAACACCTGTTCCTCGGTCACCGAATCCTGGTTCCAGCAGTCCTTGTGGCCTGCGGAGAAGAAAGAGGGGGTGAGGGGTCCAGTGGAAGCAGGAAAATCGGGTGTGTGGGGGGGTAGAGGTTACAGGGTGTGTGTGTGTGTATGTGTACAGTTGCATCACCTTTGAAGAGGACACATTCCTTCTGCACATGTCCTTCAGCCCAGAGGACCCGAAAAGTGTGTTGAGGCCAATGATCATTGAGGGCAGATGTTGGCAAGTCACACAGCTGGCAAAATGGCCGGATTTAAGGAATCAACAACAACATTCTGGAACAAGGCAAATGCAGCTGCCTCCCCCCGCTTCTTATGCAGGCGGTCCTCGACTTAATAATAATAAAGTTGGAAGGGACCTTGGAGGTCATCTAGTCCAACCCCCTGCTCGGGCAGGAAACCCTATACCATTTCAGACAAATGGCTGTCCAGTCTCTTCTTAAAAACTTCCAGTGTTGGAGCATTCACAACTTCTGGTGGCAGGCTGTTCCGCCGGTTAATTGTCCTGTCAGGAAATTTCTCCTTAGTTCTAGGTTGCTTTTCTCCTTGGTGAGTTTCCATCCATTGCTTTTTGTCCTGCCTTCAGGGGCTTTGGAGAATAGCTTGACTGCCTCTTCTATGGGGCAGCCCCTCAAATATTGGAAGACTGCTATCATGTCACCCCTCGTCCTTCTCTTCCTTAGACTAGACCAGGAGTAGGCCATCTTGGCTCTTTTATGACTCGTGGACTTCAACTCCCAGAATTCCTGAGCCAGCAACGCTGAGGGGAAAGGGAGAAGTTTCCATGCTGAGCCAGGCTGGCTCAGGAATTCTGGGAGTTGAAGTCCACGAGCCATAAAGCGGCCTAGGCCTAGGCTAGAGGTAGGCCACCTTGGCTCTTTTATGACTGGTGGACTTCAACTCCCAGAATTCCTGAGCCAGCCATGCTGAGGGGAGAGGGAGGTTTCCATGCTGAGCCAGGCTGGCTCAGGAATTCTGGGAGTTGAAGTCCACGAGCCATAAAGCGTCCTAGGCCTAGGCTAGAGGAAGGCCACCTTGGCTCTTTTATGACTGGTGGACTTCAACTCCCAGAATTCCTGAGCCAGCCACGCTGAGGGGAAAAGGAGAGGATTCCAAGCTGAGGCATGCTGGCTCAGGAATTCTGGGAGTTGAAGTCCACCAATCATAAAAGAGCCAAAGTTGCCTACCCCTGCGCTAGACATACCCAATTTACTTACGACAATTTGTTTAGTGACCGCTTGACGTTGCAACAAAGAACAAAGTGACTTATGGCCGTGTTTCACACTTACAACCGTTGCAGCATTCCCCAGGGTCACGTGATCAAACTTCAAAAGGACAACCGGTTCATATTTATGACAGATTGCCGCGTCCCCGGTGTCCCCTTTTGTGACCTTCTGACAAGAGTTGATGGAAGAAGCTGGATTTACTTGACCTGTTACCTAACGGAACAATCGCCGCAATTCACTTAATGACGGTGGCGAGAAAGAGTGGGGCAAAACTCGCTTCACAAGGCTCTCGCTTAGGAACGGGAATTTGGGGACTCAATTGTCTTCGTTTAGTGACCATTGGAAGTTACAACGACCGTGAAAAAAAGGGGCGGATGCAGGGTCCTCACACTTACGACCGTCCCCCTCACAGTCCTGCGATTAAAATTTAGATGCTTGGCAACCCACCACGTAGTAACTACAATTGCAGCGTCCCTGGGTCCTGTGACCCCTATTTGTGTCCTTCGCAGCTGGCTACTAACGTCAGACCAGATTCGTTTAATGACCGTGCGATTCGCTTAATGACAGCGATTCGCTTAGCCTTGTAAACAGCCACCTTGAGCGTTCTTTGCTCTCAAATAAAACGGCTGCCTCCTGGCTGGACCACACCAAGTTCGTTCAAAAGAACCACACAAAGTAAGCGAAAATACACAATACCCGGGTTTTAGCAACAGCAATTAGCTCTTTGAAGTCCATCATTCTAAAAAGGAATCAATTGCTATAGTTGGAATTCCTTTGATCCTGCCCATTTTTCTGCAAGAATCCTGCTCAACAGACTTTTTTCCATTTTAGGAAACTCCTAAAGTGGTGTTTCTCCACCTGGGCCATTTGAAGAGGGATTCCTCAAGTGGCCCAGATTGAGGAACACCACTTTAGGAGTTTCCTAAAATGGAAATAAAGCATTCCCGCAGAGTCTGTTGAGCAGGATTCCTGCAGAAGTTTGATATCATCTCTTTGCAATTCTTTCCTCCTTTTGACCTTCCATGTGCGCTCTTAAGATGCACCTCCCCTAACCTGATCTCCGGAGAGCCATTAAATCCACCCCGATCTCCCCTGGTTAATATACAAATTAAAAATGCCTGGATTTCTGCAAGATACAGCATTTGAGCATAAGCCGACAGGCTGACAAGTGTGTGTTGCATTTACGGGTAGTTGTTGACGTACGACCGCAACCCAGCCCAAAATTTCTATTGCCAGGCAAGACATACAGTTGCTCATTTGAGTTTTGTCCCATTTCACGACGTGTCTTGTTACATACAGTTGGTTGCAGGAATTGGGTATGGCCGGTCTAGAGAAAAGAAGGACTAGGGGTGACGTGATAGCAGTATTCCAGTATTTGAGGGCCTGCCACAAAGGGGAAGGGGGTCAACTTATTTTCCAAAGCACTCGAAGGCAGGAGAAGAAGCAACGGATGGAGACTGATCGAGGAGAGAAGCAACCTGGAGTTAAGGAGAAACTTCGTAACATTTGAGGACAATTAGCCAGTGGAACAGCTTGCCACTTGAAGTTGTGGGTGCTCCCACACGGGAGGTTTTTAAGAAGAGATTGGACAGCCATTTGTCTGAAGTGATTTAGGGTCTCCTGCTTGCGCAGGGGGTTGGACTAGACGACCTCCAAGGTCCCTTCCAATTTCTATTCTATTCTATTCTATTCTATTCCTTATTTCTATTCTAATTCTATTCTATTCTATTCTATTCTATTCTATTCTATTCTATTCTATTCTATTCTATTCTATTCTATTCTAATTCCATATATTCTATTCTATTCCTTATTTCCATTCTAATTCCATATATTCTATTCTATTCTATTCTATTCCTTATTTCTATTCTAATTCCATATATTCTAATTCTATTCTATTCTATTCTATTCTATTCTATTCTATTCTATTCTATTCTATTCTATTCTATTCTATTCTATTCTAATTGTCTGAAGGTTTTTAAGAACAGACTGAACAACCATTTGTCTGAAGTGGTCTGGGGTCTTGCGCAGGGGGTTGGACTAGATGACCTCCAAAGTCCCTTCCAGATCTATCCTGATTAGGTTGTTCAGTAAATCACTGCAGTTGTGAAGTTAGTAATCTGGTTGTTAAGTAAATCTGGCATCTCCATTGACTTTGCTTGTCAGGGGGTTGCAAAAGGGAATCACGATTTGATCACATGACGTTATCACAATGGTAATTAAGTGTGAAAAAAAGGTCTTAAGTCCCCTTTTTCAGTGCCGTTGCAATTGCAAACGGTCACTAAACAAACTGCGGTTAAGTCGAGGACTGCCTGCATAGATTTAATTTTAAAGGCAGCCTGGCTACTTTAAGCATATGCAACTAAAGAACACCCCCCCCCCTTTGTTTCTCTGCTCCCCAGAAATCCATCAGTAGCTCCTCCACAGTCCAGCTAAGTTTCAAAAGATACCCACATAAGTCCGGGTTTATTTTTTCCGTCCGGCGTGCGCCAGCGGACCACCAGCGGGGACTCATCTCCGAAAACGATCAGGTCATGAGATGCTGGAGCCACCTAAAAAAGGAGAGAGGGAAACGGTCAGCCCGGCCAGCAGACTTCTGAAAAATCTTTTTTTTTTCCTCGACAGCCTTTGGAACTCACCGCCACAGGATGAGAGAAGGCCACTGCCAGGGAGGTGTTTTCCCTGTTGACGTAGACGCAGCGAATGGTTGGTTCCAGATCACCTAAGCAGAAACCGAGTGGGAAACAAAGGCATCTGAACGGGGGAGTGGAAGATGGTTTTTTTTTATAAGTGCTGTCCTGTACCAGAAGCATGGGCCAGATATATGGAGTTTTACCCTGCGGGATGGTGCTGGTTAGGGAAATTCTGAGAGTTGAGATCACCGGGCCTGCAAAGCTTTCTAATTCACGAGAGCATCAATAATCTCCCTTTTTAAAAAAAGAGTATTTGTAGATTAGGGTTGGACTGTGGGGTTTTTGGTGGCTTCTCGGCTGGGTGGTTTTCTTGCAGACGTTTCATGACCCAACTAGAGAACAGCATCAGGGCTAGAAGGGAGAGAGATGTGCCGAGTGGAGGAGGAGGAGGAGAAATGGAAGAAGAGGAGAAGGAGGAGGAGGAGGAGAGCAGAAGGAGAAAGACTGTGGGGGTCCTCAGTGCTCTCTGAGCTGGATTGGTTTATTGTGGACGTTTCATGACCCAACTAGGTAACGCCATCAGTGCTAGAAGGGTGTGGGAATTGCAGAGCAGACAGGAAGGAGAAATGGAAGAGGAGGAGGAGGAGGAGGAGAAATATCTGTGGGGTATTTAGTGGTCTTGAGCTTACTTGTTTTCTTGCAGACGTTTCATGACCCAACTAGGTAACATCATCAGTACTAGAATGGTGTGGGAATTGCAGAGCAGAAGGGGAGGAGGAAGAGGAGGAGGATCTGTGGGGCTTTTAGTGGTCTTGAGCTTGGTTGTTTTCTTGCAGACGTTTCACGACCCAACTAGATAACATCATCAGTGCTAGAATGGTGTGGGAATTGCAGAGCAGAAGGGAGGGAGAAATGGAGGAAGAGTTGTTTTCTTGCAGACGTTTCATGACCGAACTAGTAGTGCTATATTGACCCTCGCACTGATGACGTTTCCTAGCTGGGTCAGGAAACGTCTGCAAGAAAACTACCAAGCTCAGAGACCACCAACTCCTTTAACTTTCAGCCTCATTTCTCTTGGCCTCCAATGTCCTCAGCAGCAACCGGAAGATTCTGTGGGGATAATTTTGATTTATCTGGAGATAAACCTCTCACCCTGCCCCCTTCCTATCCTGGGGAGGCCTGAAACAAAACCCCTCCTCAGAATCTGCCTGGAGCTGAATTTCCCTGAAAACAAGATGGCTGCCTGGCTCCTACCTCTGCCCAGAAGCCAGCGGTGGTAGAACCAGGCGCTCTGATCGTTGGGGTCCGTGAAGAAAGCATTTTGCACCAGTTCCAGCTCTGGAAGAGAGAAGATCGGATCAAATCTTTTCATTCTTATCCCGAAATGTTTTAAATATTTTTCATGGTTTTATATCAGGGGTCTCCAAGCTTGGCCCTTTTTTGGCTTGTGGACTTCAACTCCCAGAATTCCTCAGCCAGCAGGAGTTGAAGTCCACAAGTCATAAAAGGGCCAAGTTTGAAGACCCATTTTTATATAATAATAATAATAACAACAACAACAATTTTCATAGTTTTATGTTGTTATATATATTTATTATGATATTTTAAGCCACCCAGAGTTGCTTGACAATGGGATGGACTGCATATAAATTAATAATAATAATAATAATAATAGCAACAACAACAACAATTTTCATGGTTTTATGTTGTTATATATATTTATTATGATGTTTTAAGCCACCCAGAGTTGCTTGACAATGGATGGGCTGCATATAAATTTATAACAACAACAACAACAACAACAACAATTTTCATGGTTTTATATTGTTATATATATTTATTATGATGTTTTAAGCCAGCCAGAGTTGCTTGACAATGGGATGGGCTGCACATAAATTTAATATATAATGATAACGATGATAGTAGTAGTAGTAGTAGTAGTAGTAGTAGTAGTAGTAGTAGTAATAATAATAATAATAATAATAATAATAATAATAATAATAATAATAATAAACAGAGAGGACCAGAAGACGAATTGGAATCCTTGGCAACTGCCAAAAAACAGCTGATATTTTTAGCCATAAATATCAACAAGAAGCATTTTCACATCCAAAGTGCCACATTGGAGGTAATCCTAGCAACTCCAGCACTGGAAAAAAAGTGACTTAATGACTGGTCCTCGCATGTACGACCGTAAATTTGGGTGCTTGCAACTGGCAAGGATTTAGGATGGTTGCAGTGTCCCGGAGACATTTGACCGTCATTTGTGATTTTCCCAACCAATAGGGAAGCCGGCAGGAAAGGCCGCAAATGGCGACTCTTGGATGTCTCACTTATCGGCTGCTCCACTTAACGACCAATTTTCTACTCTCCAAAAGCTGACGTTTAACCCAGGGGGAAAACCTGGTCCAGACTCAACTGCAGGATGAATTCTCCCTCCGGCAAGGAGAGAGACGAATCTTAATGTTACTTCTTGGATAGCCCCGTTTGTGGACATCCCCAAAAGATGGTGGATCCTGGTTTGTTCCGAGCTGAGCACCCGTTTTCCCTCGCGTGGAACGACAGCACCATCCCAGACCAAAAAAAGCCACACACACAAACAAAGACAAGTAAAATTGCTCCAGGGGAGAAAAAAAATTAAAGCATTGGGTGCACAGGGATTATGCCAAGTTTTGGCAGTCCGAGAATGGTAGCTATCGTGGTTTTTGCAAACAGAAACCACTCAACATTTTTCGATCATGAGAAAGTTGAGATCAGGCAGGTGTGGCTGGCTTGGCTTTTTTTTTTTTTGTTCCTTTTCTTATTTCTAAAGGAGCTGAAAAGGGAATGAGAAAAAGGAGGAGGTGGAGGTTAAAAGGGAACCTGTCTTGGATACTGTCACTCTCCCTGGAGAGGGTTATGATTAATTACCTTTTAATGCTCTCCTTGCGCAAAGGAATTTGTGAAGCTTACCCTCTGTTTATTTAATCTTTCGCAAACTTTTTATTATTATTATTATTATTTTTGGAGGGGGGTGATTAAGAGGAGAACCAGGGCTCAAAGGGAAAAAGGAAGGAAGGAAGAAGTTAAGAGAAGAAGAGGAGGAAAGAAGAGAGGGAGGAAAAAGAAAGGAAGAAGTTAAGAGAAGAAAGAAGAGGAGAGGAGAGAAGGGGAGAGGAAGGAAGGAAGGAAGAAAAAAGAAAGGAAGGAGAAGAAAAAGAGAAAAGGAGAGAAGAGAGAAGGAAGGGAAAAAGAAAAGTTAGAAGAAAAAGAGAAAAGGAGAAGAAGAGAAGGAAGAAAGAAAAAAGGAAGGAAGAGAAGAAGAGGAGAACAGAAGAGAGGGAAGAAAAAAGAAAGGAAGAGGTTTAAAGAAAAAAGAAGGAAAAGGAGGGGAGAGGAGGGGAGGGAAAAGGAAAGAAGGAAGAAAGGAAGAAGGAAAAAAGAAAGAAAGGAAAAAAGAAAGGAAGAAAAGAGAAGAAAAAGAGAAAAGGAAACGAGAAGAGAGAAGAGAAGGAAGAAAAGAAAAAGTTAAAAGAAGGAAGGAAGGAAAAAGAAAGGAAAGTTAAGAGCAGAAAAGGAAGAGGAGAGAAGAGAGATGGAAGGAAAAAAGAAAGGAAGAAGTTAAGAGAAGAAAAAGAGAAAGAAGAGAAGAAGGAAAGAAAAAGAAAAGTGAAGAGAAGGTAGATAAGAAAAAATACCGTAGCTACAGTCGTTGACTTACAAACATTCATTCAGCCATCATTCAAGTTTAGCCCTGAAAAAAAGTGATTTATGACCAGTCCTCACACTTATGACCGTCCAGCATCTCCCCCCCCCCCAGTCACCTGCTCAAAATTGATAACTGGCCTGTATTTAGGACAGTTGAACTGTCCCGGGGTCACCATTTGTGACCTTCCCAGCCGGCTTCCAAGTCAATGGGGGGAAGCCCGATTCATTTAACGACTGCGCGATCCACTTAACAACAGTAGCAATTCCCTTATAATCCCCATAGGGGAAAAAAAAAGCCACAAAATCAGGTGCGACCCGCTTAACCGCCTAGCTTAAGAGTGGAAATTCTGGCCTCGTCGTACGTCGAGGACTACCCGTATTCCAACAACGTGAGGAAAAACATGCAGGTTAAATAATAGCCCATGTGAAGGGTGAACTTGGGATCAAGGGCACAAAAAAATAAGGAGTGATCTCCTGCCTAAAAAATACTTCTGAGGTAAAAAAACCCACAAAACTTCAGATATGCTTTTTCATTGCCCAGAAATGATTTGTGAGAGTTAATAACAATAAGAGGAAAACTCCCTTTCCCAGACTGAGTTGCCAGACCTTTAAAAGGGGGGGGGGGGAAAAACAGATTTTTTTTCCTCCCCTTTCAGAAAGGAACATCTGATAAAGCCACTCAAAGCTCAATTGGGATAAAAGAATCTGTCCAAAACATGATTTACGGCACAATTAAAGGAAGGCGGTGCACGGTTATGAAGAGAAGGATGAAGTTTGCGCTTCTTTCTGACGATCAGGAAGAAGGAAATGAACGGGGCAGCCTACACAAAAGCTGGGAACCATCCCCGGCTGATAAAATCAGCTCCTTTTGGAGGGTTTGGCAAGAACGGCTGGCATGGATTCAACCATGGGTTCGAGAGACTCAAATAAATAAATAAAGAGATTCAAAGGAAAACCAAAAAGCAGCAAAAATGAGATGGGGTGGTGATCAAGAGAGGAGAGAAGAGCAGTTCAGAAATATGGTTTATTTGCCTTTTGATGAGAAGCAGCAAGCAGCGGGAAATGGATAGGCTACACATCGGTTCCTCAACCTTATTTACTTTAAGACCTTTGGAGTTCAACTCTATCTACCTTATTATTAATTGTCTGTCTGTCTGTCTATTTCTAATTCTGTATCATCTATAATCTATCTAATTGTTTGTATATATAACCATCTATTATCTACCTACCTACCTTACCTATCTATCTATATCATCTAATTGTGTCTATCTATCTATCTATCTATCTATCTATCTATCTATCTATCTATCTATCTATCTATCTATCTATCTACCTACCTACCTACCTACCTACCTCTATCATCTAATTGTATCTATATCTATCTATCTCTATCATCTAATTCTATCTATCTATCTATCTATCTATCTATCTACCTACCTACCTACCTACCTACCTACCTACATCATCTAATTGTATCTATATCTATCTGTCTCTATCATCTATCTATCTATCTATCTATCTATCTATCTATCTATCTATCTCATCTAATTCTATCTATTTATATCTTCTAATTGTATCTATCTATCTATCTATCATCTTCTATCTATCATCTAATTCTATCTATCATCTAATTCTGTCTGTCTGTCTGTCTGTCTGTCTGTCTGTCTGTCTATCTATCTATCTATCTATCTATCTATCTATCTATCTATCTATCTATCTATCTATCTATCTCCCTCCCTCCCTCCCGGGGAAGTCAGCCCCCCACCCCACCCCAGGAAAACCCTGAACCTCTTCTAAGGGGGGGGGTCCCCTCCCAATGCCTCCCCCCACCCCTCCATTCCCGATTCCCACCTTTCAGAAGGATTTCCTCCGGGATCCGGCCTTGGTGCTGGGGATCAGGGTACAGCTGCGGGAGGAGCAGGCTGCGATAATGCCAGGAAGAATAATTGGAAAAATTCCGGGTAATCAGGCTGTCGCTGAAGGTTAACTCATCCTGGGGCAACACCTTGGACCGCTGCACCACGAAACGCCGGTAGTCCCAGCAGTGAACTGCAAGGGGCACCACAGAGAAGGTCAAACATGGCAACTTTAAGACATGTGGACCATCTCCCAGAATTCCCAGCAGTGAACTGCAGGGGGCGCAACAGAGAAGGGTCAAACACGGCAATTTTAAGACATGTGGATTTCATCTCCCAGAATCCCCAGCAGTGAACAACAGGGGACACCATAGAGAAGGGTCAAACATGGTAAGTTTGAGACATGTGGACTTCATCTCCCAGAATCCCCAGCAATGAACTGCAGAGGGCGCCACAGAGAAGGGTCAAAACAGCAATTTTAAGACGTGTGCACTTCATCTCCCAGAATCCCCAGCAGTGAACTGCAGGGGGCGCCACAGAGAAGGGTCAAACACGCCAATTTTAAGACGTGTGGACCATTTCCCAGAATCCCCAGCAGTGAACAACAGGGGCCACCATAGAGAAGGGTCAAACACGGCCACTTTAAAACGTGTGGACTTCATCTCCCAGAATCCCCAGCAATGAACTGCAGGGGGCGCCACAGAGAAGGGTCAAACACGGCAATTTTAAGACGTGTGGACTTCATCTCCCAGAATCCCCAGCAGTGAACTGCAGGGGGCGCCACAGGGAAGGGTCAAACATGCCAATTTTAAGACGTGTGGACCATTTCCCAGAATCCGCAGCAGTGAACAACAGGGGACACCATAGAGAAGGGTCAAACATGGCAAGTTTGAGACATGTGGACTTCATCTCCCAGAATCCCCAGCAATGAACTGCAGAGGGCGCCCCAGAGAAGGGTCAAAACTTAACTTGGACCAACCCTCCTTCTCTCTTCATCGTCCTTCTATTCCAACATGGCAACTTGAAGACGTGTGGACTTCATCTCCCCGAATCCCCCAGCCAGGGAGGGAATTCTGGGAAATGAAGTCCACACGCCTTAAAAGTTGCCATGTTTGAGAAAGACTGCCCTGAATTTCCAGCGGTATTCTGTTATCTTCGCTAGTCGGGGGCCACCGGGAGAGGAAGGAAAGAACTACGCACAGTTGCGCTCGTCAATCTCCAAAAACTTCCCGCACAGCTCCAGCTCGCGGGCCCAATCCGGCTCCGGGACGTGCCCCATCACCCAGCAGCGATGGTGCCAGGTGCCGTAGGATTTGGGATTCACCCTCAAGCAGCATTCCAGGAAGGCCAGCTCAGCCTTGCACAGGGCTTGCATCTCCTCGGGGCTCCTGACGGGAGATGGGAAGGGGTGGAGATACGGACACGGGGACCTGGTCCACGGAGAGACCCTCCTCCCCCTCCCCGCGGCCCTCCCCACCTCCCCGCTACTCACTCTTCCTTCTCCAGACACAGGACGATCTCTCGCCGAAAGTTCCAGAGCGTGGCAAAATCCGGATTGGCGCTGAGGACCTGGTTGGTCAGCTCCAGAGCTTCCTTGTCCAGTTGTCCCAGTTTCCTCTGAAGCGGAAAGTTAAGATGGCGGCGTGCCCCACCCCCTTCGCTCCCTGCCTCCCTCCTATTTCTCACACCAAGCAAGGAAGGTGTTGTTTTTTTTAAGGGGGGGGTTTCCCCTTAACTGTGTTCCTCATCCTTGGGTACTTTAGGATAAGTGGGAGTTGAACTCCCAGGGAGGGAGGGAGGGAGGAAAAAGATGTGAAAAGGAAGCGAGGAAGATGGGGAAAAGGAAGGAGGGAGGGAGGAAGGGAGGAAGGAATAAAGAAAGGAAGATGGGAAAAAGGAAGGAGGGAAGGAAGATGGAAGGAAGATGGGAAAAAGGAAGGAGGGAGGGAGGGAGGAAGGAAGGAGACAGAGGAAGGAAGGAAGGAAGGAAAGAAGGAGACAGAGGGAGGGAGAAAGGAGACAGAAGGAGAAAGGGAGGAAGGAGACAGAGTGAGGGAGGAAGGAAGGAGAGGGAGAGAAAGAGAGGAGACGGAGGGAGGGAGGGAAGAAGGAAGGAAGGAGACAGAGGGAGGAGGGAAGGAGATGGAGGAAGGAAGGAAAGAAAGAGACAGAGAGAGGGAGGAAGGAAGGAAGGAAGGAAGGAGAGGGAGAGAGAGAGAGGAGATGGAGGGAGGGAGGGAAGAAAGAAGGAAGGAGACAGAGGGAGGGAGAAAGGAAAGAGAGGGAGGAAGGAGTCGGAGGGAGGGAAGAGGGAAGGAGATAGGAGGAAGGAAGGAAGGAGACAGAAGGAGGGAGGGAGGAAGGAAGGAGACGGAGGGAGGGAAGGAAGATGACAGAGGGAGGAAGGAAACAGAAGGAAGCAAGTGGGTGAGAGAGGGAGGGAAGGAGAGGGGAAGGAAGAAGAGAGAAGGAAGGAAAGAAGGGAAGGAGTAAAGATGGACAGAAACCGAGAGAGAGGGAAGAAATTGGCAGCGATTTTAAACAATTACAGTGTTTTCCATTCATCATATTCCTGGTCAAATTCAGTTAAACAGGTCATGAACAAACAAACGCCCTTCCAAAAGATATTGCAGAACCGCACAATACATTCTCTCGATACACAAAATGGTCACAGTGAAAAAAACGCCGAGTGAGAATCGTGTTTGAGGAATTCTGGGAGTTGAAGTCCACCCCTCTTAAAGTGAGTCGCCAAGGGTGAAAAAGATCCCCTCAGCACAACCCAGAATTGTGACTTCAAAGCCTAGTCACCCGACGGCTGGGCCTACAATCACACCAGACCAGCCCAAGTGCCATGTTTTGTGCAAATGGGGCCCCTCTCTACAACATGTGTTGACCACACCTTCTCCATAAGCTACTGTGTCGTTTGTTGTGGCCCAGCACGTTCGGGAAACACAAGCGTCAGTTTTGGTTAACTTAGATGGTTTACTGCATTGTCCGATTCCAGACAATGTTTGCTAAACCTTCACTCAAAAGCTGTTTGGCAGGTCATGTTGGTCTGGCTTCTTGATCTGGGTCCATTTGGGACAAGCCATTGTTTTGCGTCTTTCGAAAAATGAAATCTTCTTTCTTTTTTGCCTCCCAGGGCTTCAGAGGGCACTATCACCCTCTTCTGGAACTTTCTGGGGGTGATTTGAGATGAAAGGGAGGTTTTGGCACGCAAAAACCTTAAAGCTTTCAAAGGCTCTTCCTAATTCTGTTAAGGCTTTTCCCCAAGCACACTGAAAAAAAATTGTGCTGCCTCAAAATGGCAATTTGCTAGCAAAACTATGCAGTGCAATCTATCCCCCCGCATCCATCTATTTATCATATCTATCCACCCATCATTTATCTATCTGTCTGTTTGTTCTTCCATCCCATCTATCCATCCTATCTGTCTGCCTGTCTGTCTCTGTCATCTCTCTCCATCCAGCCATGCATCCATCCTTTGTATCTATTTGTCCATTTTATCTATCTATTTACAGGATCCATCCATCCATCATGCATCCATGTCTGTCTGTCTGTCTATCTATCTCTCTATCCATCCATATGTATCTATCTCTATCCATATCTATTCATCCATCTACAGTATCCATCCATCCATCCATCCATCCATCCATCCATCCATCCACTATGCATGCATGTCTGTCTGTCTGTCTCTATCTATTTATCTATCTCTATCCATCCATATGTATCTATCTCTATCCATATCTATCCATCCATCTACAGCAGTGGTTCTCAACCTGTGGGTCGGGACCCCATTTGGGGTCGAACGACCATTTCACGGAGGTCGCCAAACAATGCAGTCTGCCATTTCTTTCCCCCTTTTCCTTAGCTGTGCTACTCCCTTTTATTCTATTGGCTTTTGAAAGCCAATAGAATAGACTCTCTTGAATAGAGTCTAATTCTATTGGCTTTCAAAAGCCAATAGGAATTGTCCAGGCTGTCTCTGCCCTGTGAGCCCGCCAAAAGTCCCATTCTGCAAATGGTGCTGCACCAGTTGAGTAGTCCTCGACTTACGACCAGTTGAGTAGTCCTCGACTTACGACCGGTTGGGGGTCGCGGCATTAAGAAGGTTGAGAACCACTGATCTACAGTATCCATCCATTCATCCACTATGCATGTCTGTCTGTCTATCTCTATCCATCCATATCTGTCTCTGTCTCTGTCTCTGTCTCTCTCTCTCTCTCTCTCTCACACACACACACACACCTCTCCATCCATCCATCCCAACACTAAGAGTTCTTCAAACGAGCGAGAAGGGCCAGGATTTCGAAGGCCCACACGGCAAGATGTCCCCATCCAAACCAGACCTTCCTTTTCGTCCCAGGAGCAGACGAGGGAGCCCCAGCCTCACGTGTGTTTACCTTCTCAAAGATGGCCTTGGTGGCCGTCACATACTGGTGCAGCTTCTTCTCCCGTTCCAGGCGTTTGGCTTCAGCTTGCTCTTCGGTTGTCTTCACCTTCAGCCTTCCGTGCTGGAGGGGGAAACCAAAGAGAGGTAGCTGAGGACGAGAGACGCAGCTTCGGGGAAGCCATGAGGAGCATCATGAAGGATCCTCCTCAAAGATCAGAAACGGGGAACTCACCATCTTGACTGGACTCCAAAAGTCTCAGAGAGGGGAGGGAGGAATTAATCACCTATCCTAGGAAATTGAAAAAAGAAATCTCAGTGAGGTTTGCAGCTCAACTAAGCAGCGGGCAAGCTGAGGATGATGGGAACCAGAGTCCTAAAGAGAAGAACTAACTTGAGGTCTAAGCTAGACCTGACCTTCAGATGGAGCGTTAAGTTTACAGCGAACCATACAATTTTTTTAAAGCAAGTTTTCAATTTTCCAGCAATTCGAAGTCCTCCCCATTTTATCTTCCAGAAACTTGACCGAGCTAATCATGGCTTGTTTCGAACGTGTGGTCAGCTTTAGCGCCAAAAGAGAGGTGGAACCTGGTTTTACAACCTGGTGAGAAATGATGCAGACATACCAAACATTATCCTGGCAACAACTCACAAGGGAAATTCAGGAGGAATATAAAGATTCACCCAGTGCAGCCTTTTTAATGTCGCGACCCCCAACCGGTTGTAAGTCGAGGACTACTCAACCAGTCATAAGTTGAGGACTACTCAACTGGTGCAGCACCGTTTGCAGAATGGGGCTTTTGGCGGGCTCAGCAGGGCAGAGACAGCCTGGACAATTCCTACTGGCTTTTGAAAGCCAATAAAATTAGACTCTATTCAAGAGAGTCTATTCTATTGGCTTTCAAAAGCCAATAGAATAAAAGGGAGTAGCACAGCTAAGGAAAAGGGGGAAAAAAAATGGCGGACTGTGTTGTTTGGCAACCCCTGTGAAATGGTCGTTCGACCCCAAATGGGGTCCCGACCCACAGGTTGAGAACCACTGACCTAGTGCCTCGTATTGGTTAACTTGGACACCTTAACACATTTTTCTGATCCAAAACCTGAAGCCAGTTCATTTCCCATAATGCATCGCCCATCACTCTGGGGCATTATGGGAAATTAAAAAAGAAACTGGACTAGACCCAGCCTGGTAGCAATTCTACTCCAGGGACGTTGCCCCAATTTGCTAAAACCCCAGGCTCCTTAAAACCCCAGATGTGCTGTATTGTTGCTAGATTTGCACATTACACTAAATCAACGTGCAAACATGGTTTGATCATTTATGCAAACTCAAGCCACTGTTGTTGGTTCAATCGTGTGTCAGATGTAAGGCCCAGCATGAGCTCAGCCAATCGTGGCTTATTCAAGAAGTGCAAAAAAATAAATAAATGCAGTTTAATTCAGCATGCACACAAAAGCCTTTTGAGCAGCACAGAAAGCGACCGGCTTACAACCAAACCTGGGGGCGGCAGTCTGAGCCCCCCCCCTACTCATTTTACCTTCATGCACAATTATTTTTTCCTTGCCTTCAGATTAATGCACAATCAGCCACATTCAGAGAAGCCCCATCGATTCCTTTCCTAGTTCCTCCCCTTCTGGAAGCCCTGAAGTGGTCTCTCCCGGATATGTCTACACCGATTTCTACGGGGCGAGACCATTTTGAACAGGTCCGCGGGGGTGTCGAACCGGAAAAGAGGCGCCGGGCTAATCCTAGCAGCCTCTAAGGGGGGGTAATACCAACCAACCGGTAAAGAAAGGGGGAGATACGCGGCGAATATGAAATCAGTCGGTGGCGAGTGGTCTCGTCCGTAGAAGCTCTGCGAGCAAAACTGGGCGAATCCAATCAAGGCGGAGGGAGAGGGGGATGCGGATGGGAACTACCATTGCGGTCCGAAGGCTATCGAGTTGAAACCTCCCGGTGGGACGGAGCGTCCTCATTCTTAAAGAAACAACTTTATTCCTTTTTGTATTGAATTGAATTAAATCTCCCCTTTCTCTCACGCTCTTAAAGGGAAGGTGGTGATTGAGAGCTCATTATAAATTCCTGTTGAAGTGAAGCTGGGCTGCTGGCTTGTGCTAAACGTGGCTTGTTGGATAAATCACAATTACCTTGGTGTGCACTAACCTTGTTTCACAAACCAGCATGGCTGAGAAGCCATGCGGAGGCAAAGCAGTTACATACAGTTTTAGTGTCATGTAAACCAGTGTTTCTCAACCATCTCAGTAACCTCAAGATGGGTGCACTTTACATCCCAGAATTCTCCAGCCACATGGGTGGACTTCAACTCCCAGAATTCTGCCAGCTTCATGAATGGACTTCAACTCCCAGAATTCCCCTGCCAGCATGGATAGATTTCAACTCCCAGAATTCCCATGCAGCACGGGTGGACTTCACAGCCCAAAATTCTCCAGCCACATGGGTGGACTTCACATTCCAGAATTTTCCAGCCACATAGATGGACTTCAACTCCCAGAATCCTACCAGCTGCATGAATGGACTTCAGCTCCCAGAATTCCCCAACTGCATGGATAAACTTCAACGCCCAGAATTCCCCTGCCAGTGTGGGTAAGATTTCAACTCCAGAATTGTGGAGTCCTTGGTGTTCTCTGATCTCAGTTATTTGCTTGCAGATATTCTGTTACCTGACTCAGTAGCATCTTCAGCTTGAGAAACAGCAGTTTAGAATTAAGATAAGAAAGCCTAAAGCTGGTGGATATTGTCCAATTCTTGGGCACATTCCGTTCCATTTCTATTCTTGCACGATTTCCTAGCATTCAGAAGAGGACTCAAGTGGCTTTTAAGTGCAGCTGCCAAGATGCCTGTTCAAAAACAGGCTTTGCAAGGCCCCCCCCCCCCCCCAAAAAAAAGCACAGCAAGGTTCTAAGCCTGCTGAGCCCTTTGCCAAATAGAATCTGGCCTAGAATGGACGATTAAAATCTCTTTATTGATATATAAGTAAGAAGAGAGGTCTCTCACCATTACAAGGCAAGGAGAGCCTTAGGATAAAAAAACAGAGAAATTACTTTATGTACAGTTCAAACATACTGGCTTTGGGTCATTGTGTTTCACCTATAATAATAATAATAAAGTTGGAAGGGATCTTAGAGGTCATCTGGTCCAACCCCCTGCTCAGGCAGGAAACCCTACGCCATTTCGGATAAATGGCCATCCAGTCTCTTCTTAAAAACTTCCAGTGTTGGAGCATTCACCGCTTTTGGAGACAGGTTGTTCCACTGGTTAATTGTTCTAACTGTCAGGAAGTTTCTCCTTAGTTCCAGGTTGCTTCTCTCCTTGATTAGTTTCCATCCGTTGCTTCTTGTCCTGCCTTCAAGCACCTTGGAGAATAGCTTGACTCCCTCTTCTTTGGGGCAGCCCCTGAGATACTGGAAGACTGCTATCCTGTCCCCCCTCGTCCTTCTCTTCATTAAACTGGACATACCCAATTCCAGCAGCCGTTCCTTATATGCTTTAGCCTCCAGTCCCCTAATCATCTTTGTTGCTCTTCTCTATACTCTTTCTAGAGTCTCAACATCTTTACTACATCGTGGTGACCAAAACTGGATGCAATAGTCCAAGTGTGGCCTTACCAAGGCATTGTAGAGTGATATTAATACTTCACGTGATCATGATTCTATCCCTCTGTTAATGCAGCCTAGCACTGTGGGACAGCCCATTTGAATGCTTTTCAATGTATTGTTAATTATTATTTAGCACATAGCAAAAGCGACAATGAAGCCATGGTGCCTTGCATACAGTGGTGGGATTCAGCTGGTTCACACCACTTTGGCAGAACCGGTAGCTAATTTTTTTGTTGCCCAGGCCCAGAATGGACTTCTGGAAGTGGCATCTCCACAGAGAACCGGTTGTTCACATATCTGAATCTTGCCACTGCTTGCTTCTATTGCTACGGAGTTAAACTGCTGCTGAGCAGCTTTGACACCAACTTGAACAAGATGAACTAAGATGATCCAAGGCCTGGAGACCAAAGCATACGAAGAACGGCTGCGGGACTTGGGCTTGGCTAGTCTAAAGAACTGCTTTTTAAAAGGCCAGATCCTGAAGTTGAAACTCAAATACTTTGGCCACCTAATGAGAAGGAAGGACTCACTGGAGAAGGGCCTAATGCTGGGAAAGATTGAGGGCAAGAGAAGAAGGGGACGACAGAGAATGAGGTGGCTGGATGGAGTCACTGAAGCAGTAGGTGTGAACTTAAATCGACTCCAGAAGATGGTAGAGGACAGGAAGGCCTGGAGGAACGTTGTCCATGGGGTCGCGATGGGTCGGACACGACTTCGCAATTAACAACAACAACTAAAGAAAAGAAGGAATAGGGGAGACATGATAGCAGCATTCCAGTATCTGAGGGGCTGCCACAAGGAAGAGGGGGTCAGGTTGTTTGCCAGAGCACCAGAGGGAAGGACGAGAAACAATGGTTGGAAACTAATCAAGGAGAGAAGCAACCTGGAATTAAGGAGAAACTTCCTAATAGTGAGGACAATTAACCTGTGGAACAGCTTGCCACCAGATGTTATGGCTGTTCCATCACTGGAGGTTTTTAAGAAGAGACTGGACAGTCACTTGTCTGAGATTGTATAGGTTCTCCTGTTTGAGCAGGGAGCTGGACTAGAAGACCTCCAAGGTCCCTTCCATCATCATCATCATCATCATTATTATTATCACAAAGGTTCCTTTCAACTCTGTTATTCTGTTATTCAGCTGGTTCTAATCAGAATTTCACATTCTTGCTTGTTACTTCAAAGGGACTAGAAACATTAATCAAAGCACTCCTTGTTAATGGAAAACAGTTATTTAAAGAGGCTCCCATCAGCTTCACTGATTCTGATTATATTATAAATACATATAATGTTGTCCTGCGCCCTTGTTTTCTCTGGCTGAAAGGAGAGTAGCAAATTCCTGGTATGAATGCCAGCACCCTCGACCTGTTTAAATATTTGGCACGGAAATAATAATTTTCAAATATTTACTTGCTGACCATCAGCTGTCTCAGTTAACCAAACATCGGTCCGGAAAACAACCAGAATTTTATTTAGCGTTGCAAACTGGGAAAAAATGGATCGTTTTGGAGACTTGATCAGCATGAAGGCTGAGCAAAGGACAGTAATACACATGCCTGAGCTAACAAATACGGATACCGAGTTATATCACGAAATCCATATATAGTAGTGGCCAAAATTATGTAAACCTTTTGGGAAAAGTGTACATTTGAGGTTTGATGCTAATAACACCACTTTTTGGGGGGGGGGTAGTACCCTAAGATTATATATCAATGGAAAGATAATTTAATCAAGAATGTACTGCAACAAAGTTTGTTCAGTTATCTGTATCCTATGAAACGTTATAGCCAAATAACCAGAAAAAGGAAGCACAATTTGCTTAGGTTGATCTCAGGTAGCTTTCCTTCATCCGATTGTAGCCAATGAGCACGAGCGTTTAGAGAGCCAGTCAGGTGTCATCTTGTTTTGGCCATGAGCCAATCAGATCACAGAAGGATCCAGGTATTGATGTCCTGTATTGAAGCTGAGAGGAGGACATTTGTCAGTGTGTTATGGGATCGCTATCAAGTTGGTTGGAGTTTTTGGTGTTCTTTCCTTTAGCGAGCTTGTAAAACGTCATAAAATTAAAGTCATGGTGCAAAGACTTGACTGGTCACCCAGAAAGCGATGTAAATAGAAATTATTAGGTGAACAAAGCTACAGTTCTAAAGAAATTAGAAGAAAAATGGGTGGAAACGTAACCAAAAGTGGCATTTCTAGGTTTTTGAAGAGGTATAAGGAGACGCAGTCACTACAAAACCAGACTGGTAAAGGCAGGAAAAGGTGCACAACAGCAAGTGATGATAGAAGAATTAAGAGGCCGTGCCTACGTGACAGAAGAAACTCATCTGGGTGTATACAAGATGAAATGGCGCAACACAATGTGAAGTTGAGTGCAAGGACTGTTCGGCGCAGACTGCAGGAATTTGGCCTAAAATCTAGAATTCCACACACAAAAAAAGCCATTTTTATCTCTCAAACTTAGGTTGAAAAGACTAAACTGGGCTAAAACCCATGTTACCTGGACATAGGAACCATGGGACAATGTTATTTGGAGTGATGAGATCCAAGATCTCCCTGTTTCGTAGTGATGGCATAAAATACGTAAGGAGAAGAACCAGAAAAAAATTGCATCTTGATTGCATTACATGTACCGTGAAACACCCAGTCAGTGTTATGATCTGGGGTTGTATGACATCAAAAGGTGTGGGCAGAATTGGTGTGATTAATGGGAATATAAATGGCCAAAAATACATTAATGAAATACTGGAGCCCAAATTGAAGCCTTCCGCACACGATCTTTTCCGAGACAATGAAGCATTTATATTTCAACAGGATTCAGCTCCGTGTCATGTTGCTGCTGTGTGCAAAAAGTGCTTTCAAGATAATCGTAAGGCCTGGGAATAGCCCAGACCTTCACCCAATTGAAAATCTATGCAGCCGACTAAAGAAACTTGTTAGTCAGAAGCGAGCCAGCAATAAAACCCAGTTAATAGAAGCAATCATCTAATCTTGGTTTCACATTATAACAGCTGTAGAACTAAAGGACTTGGCTCGCTCCATGGGAAGACGTTGTAAGGCCGTAATTCATGCTAAAGGTAACCCAACTAAGTATTAACTGACATGGTGATTTTTGTATATCTCGTTTTTTTCT